ATTAATGATGTAGGGACGAAAAATAACATCGGCTATTTCTTTATAATCTCTAGCTTTGCGAGTTCAAGGAATTGGCTTTCAATTGATTGTAGAGAAACAAATGGGGTTGTACACTTTATTTGACGGAATGCGCATCTTCCGTGGAGAACGTTATAATTATATATATGTACGTGCATATTTAAAGTTGACCTATTAACAATAGAAATGCCGTTACCCAGTGAACAATTAATGTATTTGGATTTATTCGTGTATTTTGAGCTAGTAACAATACACATGCTAAACAATTAATATAGTTATTTACTCACCATTGATATCAATATCAGCAATAAGACCATCTAATCCTGCTCCACTTATACCCAAGGCAGCTCCCAATTCAGCTTTGGTGGCAACTCCGTCGCTAATGATGGCGTTCAGCTTAGCCAGGACATTGGCACTAGCTTCAACTGAGTCTTTGTTTCCTCCCAAAACACCGCCGATTAAACCATTTGATCCCAATAGACCTCCAACTAAACCATTTTGTCCCAACAGACCTCCGAGTAAACCGTTTGATCCTAAGATACCTCCCAGTAAACCGTTATTTCCCAAAACACCACCGAGCAGACCGCCATTACCTCCACCTCCATTCAACAGATTCAACAAAGCCTCGGATTCAGGTGTCATCACCATAACCATAGCAACGGCAAAAATAGCTACACACTTCATTCTGAAAGGAAATATAACAGTAGCGTTAAGTTTCAAAGTTGCCAGTATCTGTTGCAGACAATCAAGACTTCAAACAAGTCAGACTCACTTCGAAAGAAATTCCAGAAATATAACAGTAGCGTTAAGTTTCAAAGTTGCCAGTATCTGTTGCAGACAATCAAGACTTCAAACAAGTCAGACTCACTTCGAAAGAAATTGTAATATTCAAGAAACTTTCAGATTTCTCTTGCCCATGGCTAGGAAGAGACTGTCCAAAGCAGGGATTCTTAATCCTTGGATCCAATATTCAGCTTTTGTGGTAAGCCAAGCTTTAGGTAGTCTTGTCACTGAATTTTGCAACTGGTTCAAGTGGAACTTAGAATGTAAAATATTTTTGTACTTACTTGGTTTGATAGATGGTTGTTGGTTGTAGGACTTGATGTGGATAAATATTGTAATTTTATCTCCCAATTTATAGTTTTTTAGTGTCAAAAGTCATTAGTAATTCCAGAATCTCAGAAACAAGGTTTGGGGTAAAATGTGTAAAAATCTAAACATGAAAAAATAAAAGTATTTATTTCTAATAATGATGATAAGATGTATACAGTGATAGTAGATTAGACGAGGTGGTAAAATAAAATTGTAAAAAAATAACAGTCTAAATATCATTATTTAGGTGAGAAAATGATTTAGTGTCGATTAAAA